TGTTGCTGGGAATGAGAGAAACGTGGCAGAAAATTAGTGGTCCGTCAAAGAGAAGAAAAACGGCCGCGTGAGAAGGAAGAAAAGAAGTAGCCAAACCGCGTAAGATATCTTTACAGGTCCCACTAACAGATTGGCCTTTTTTGCCCTTTCAACCAAAAAAACATATAAATAAAAATAAATAAAATTTTGCATACAAAATTTAACTCTTTAGTGTTTATTCGRCATTTTTCTCTTTTTTTCCCTAAAAAAATCCAAAGATCGCAGAGATTCTTGAGATCAAAGGAGTAGGAAGATATTAGAAAATTAAAAACTGAAATATTATAGTCTTATAGGGTTAATGTCAAAACTAATTGGTAATCATAAATAAGTCAATGTTGTTTAGAGAGAAATTCGAGCTGGCGACGTGTGAGGTTCTAGGGAGTGATAACTGGAAGATGGACCACAAATAGCGTGAAGCGTACGAGTGAAGAAGGACGAAAGTTGCATGCCTACTGCAAAGTACGAAAGAGCATCCACTGCACACCAAGAATGTCCCCGTCTAACCGTTTGCACGCTGTACGACGAAGAGCAATGCTACACTACATACAAAGTGTCCTCTCTAGTCGGCCACAGGCACCTGTAAAAGGGAATAATCACCACCACCAGCATCAAGTAAGTGAAAAATYTGTCACTAATTCTTAATGTACTCTCTGCTACTTTTGCTCAAATTAAGTCTATTAAACGAGACACTGTTTCGGTGTCGAAAATCGTTGCTCTGTTCCAAAGAACGCATGGATGTCTCCAAAACTCACCATCAACATATGTATTTTAACCCATTGATTTATTATTCGATAATTTTAAAATAAGAGACGAATTAGAAGCAAGTCTAAATTGTATAAGTAATAATTGGAGTAAGGTTTTTGTTTGGTTGGAAAGTGGTGGGAAATGGGAAGGAGAAAGACGATAAGAGCCCCCACATGAAACTGTCCCCCAAAATGCTCTTCTTTACTTTTGACAACCATAAATGGTGGACTCTGACTCACTCTTACCTACACATTATTAAGAAGGACCTTTTTATTTTTTTTTTTCTAATATATATTTTCGTCCAATGAGGTGAAAATGAACTCGTCTCTTGAAAAAACTGTTTTGTCGTTGTCAGTTTCTGTTAAAATCGCGTGTAAAAAAGACGATTTTGTCAAAAACATGGCAGAAACAAGAAAAAGATTAAAAGATTTTACTTTTAAGGTTGTCTACTCTTTCTATAACATATATACTCTCCATGTATATCAAAAGAGTTTTCGTTTTTACTCGTAATTTCTCCCCGATGAGACATTCTTGTGAATTCTTTTATAATGTTGAATCTAGATTCTTTTTTTCTTTCTTATTATTTGAAGGAAAGTTCAAAATCCTACCCACCTTAAAATTTCCAAATTACTTCATTAGTGTGWCTCACTTTTATGAAAATTTTTTAATTTTTTCTTTTTWAAAAATAACATATGTTTGATAATATTAGGAGTTTTCTTTTCCAAGAAAGAGAATAAACTTTTATTTAATAATGATTGAATTATTATTTTATTATTTTAGGATATTTTTATACAAGGGAGTGATGGACTATGGCTACCGYTTTTTTTAGTACAACAAATAGGGTAGGAATTCAAACACACGATCTTTTGGTCAGAGATACATGTTTTAACAGGTCGATCTATACTTGTTTGATTTTACCCCATGAATACAAAGAAATTAAAATTTCACAATTAATTTAAGTTACCAATAACTGTATTCTAAAAAAAAAAAGATAAAATATGAATTGTTTATATTAAAAAACTTCAATACTTTTGTGGAAAAAAGGGAAAGGAGTATAAAGTGGTGGTCTCGATCTCATGAACATGAAGGCATGGAAACGGTTGGCTCTTTCTCAAGTTTTTAATGCCTTTTATCTTCCCAACTTTGCACATTCATGTATCTTTCTTTCTTTATTTCTTTACTTATTTAATTTTTTTTAGGAAAGAGTCAGTTCATYCATGTATCTTGATTTGGACTAATGTAAGATATAATACCAATTCATATCATATAATAATATAAATATCAATAATTTTCTTAAGATAATTTCACATATCCATTTTACACGAATTAGTTATATAAACTTTTTCATAAATTGAAAAAAAAAACAAAGAAAAATTACAAAAAATTACAATTGAACAAAATTATGCAATATAAATGATTTACATCCATTTGAAATTCAATGGCATTAAAGTTGCATAAATATATTATTATAAATAGAGTAAAAGAAATCTATGTATACCGCATCATATAAAATTAACTTTAATTTTTTTAGTCAACATAAATAGTTCATAAGTGAAGATATCTTATCTACTATATTTATTTGTAGTTGGAAGTTCAAATCCCAACTCCTACATTAAAAAAAAAAACTACATTGTCCTACAATTATTTGTAACATTTTGTGTAATTTTATAGTATTGTTTATCAATACATGATCTAAGATTGTAGTATGACAATAACCGAATATGCAACAACAATTCAATGATGCATGACAAGACAATAAATAACTTAAACGTGACATGTTACTTTATAATGTAAAATTTTTTTCATAAGTATTAAATTTGAATATCACTTTTTATTTTTATTCGTAATATATAAGATCTGTTTAATTTTTTGTATTTTTATTTTTAGTACAATGCTTCGGCAAAGATAACCATTTAATGAAGACAAAAARTAAAATAATAAAATAAAAAGCGATGGCTGCGTGCCTTCGGGTTCTCTTAACTCAGATTGGTCAACTAACTTAACCACTCTCTCTCCTCCATCTCTCATAATTTGTACTTCACGCGCGCTCTTCTGCGTAAATGCCACGTCCGCACAAGATTGGCGAGTACGCTACAATCGCGAAGAAAGCGCGTGGGAGTGGAGGAGGCGACGGAACCACTTATTGCATGGGAGACTGGGGAGTATCCGGCGCCGAAATTGAAGAAGTTGTCTCCGCCGCACGTGACTTTCTGGATCGCTTTACTCCAACTCAACGTAACCCCACTACTGAGTCAAYTTAACCATCCATAGTTAACCATTTTAATTTCCTGCATGCGTCCCCAAAACCGTCTTCTGGAGACCGGTTGCAGYAGCCGTATGATTTCCTGATCGTGACATCATACTGACGTCATTTTCTTACCAACGTCCCTGATTCGTTTCGTATACTGGTTTCATTTTCCTACCAACTGCACGGTCGCTGGCGACCAAAACTGTTCAAATTTAGGAGAATTTGCAGGGTGACCCGTTTCTATACTGTTTCTTTTTCCAATAAATAAAATAACTTTTATAGAATTTTGTCCAAATTATATGGGTTTGGTATTATAAATTTAAGTGTTTTGGTGTTTTTATCYGTTGATTGTCAGATATTTAATGTRGTGAGGACRAAATTTTTTCTTATCSTTAAAATTAAGTACTTTAAAGCTGTGTCTATCTAGCTAGCTACCATATTATGTGGTTTTTTTTTCTCGTATTTGAACTTTAAATTTTGTGAATCTTTAAAATAATATAGATTATAGATCATGTGACACATAACCTTTAAAGCTRTGGACTTAATAATGGGAGCTTAAGTCATACAAAATTTAAAATTTGAAAAACTAATATAGAAAAATTAAATTATTACAAAATTTGAAGACTTAGTTATTACGGTTATGAAAGTTTATAAATTAAATTCATAATTTAATTTGAAYTTTTGTAAAACAAATATAAAATTAATTAAGATATATTAACACGATAAATTTCCAGTACGAAGTTAATATAAGGTTTAGGTATATATATATATTTTATAGCATTAAAATATTAGCTAGYAGTGAGTACAARATGTTTATTAAAAAAAAAAAGTGTGTTAGCTCRAGAATTAAGTTATAAACTTAGATYTATATAACTTGTGAGAATTAGCAAATGTGTAGTCTTAAAATATTAAGTATATAATATATATCAAACCTTATAATATTATGTTATACTCATTTGGTGACCTAAATATTGTCTTAAAATATTTAGATGGCGTGAAAAATGGGTAAAAACGTGAATAAATAATCCAAATTTTTTCTTTTCCATTTTGATTATTCTTAGTCAAAATTTAAAGCACATCCCAAACATGGCCATGGAGACAAGCCACCAATGAAGAATTCAAAAGTGAAAATCACATCGAGGAAAAATATTAGAACCAATGAAAATAAAAAGTATTTTTCAAGTGGGTCTTGACCTACCAAACTCATTTGGGTTGGCTTTTCCAAATACTATATTCATCTGTTGTCYATTGACTACGCCTTTCGGTTTGATCTTAGGCCCTGACTCACCCTTCATGGACGAACCTTGCAAAGGAAACCTTAGATTTTCGGGGTATTGGATTCTCACCAATGTTTGCATTACTCAAGCCGACATTTTCGTTTCCGCTTCATCCGTCACCGCTCGTGCGTATAGTACATCTAAAAAAACTAGTACAATTATGAGACAGCAACTAACATTTTTTAAAGTAAATGTAATTTCCCACCAAATTAATAGCCCCCCAAAAGAATCAATAAATTGGGGACAAAAGTTAATTTCACCAAATTYAGTTAGTGGAGGATTAAAAGAAATGAGACCTCTACCAATAAATAATATTTGTGAATTAAGGTCACCTTTTAATCCAATAAGTGAATAAAAAAATAAATAAAATATTTGATAAAGTATTTATTAATTACATGGCAAAAAAGTCAAAGCGATTTGAAGAGTTTTGATACAATCATTTATGATATCAGGAAGCCGCCCATTCACTTCTMCATCACCACACAAACTTACAGATAAGATTTATTTCATTATCTTTATATACTTTTTAAAATTAAATAAATACATATAAATCTAAAAATAGTCCACAACTTCACATTCCAAAAAAAAAAAAAGTTGTTAGAAGTTTTGTTTACGTTTAATCATAACAACTAAAGTAATTAGATCATATTAATAATTGAATAAATTATTGTATTTTACTATAATTTTTGTGTTGGATTCTTCTAGAGGAAGGGAGGAATAGAGAATATTAATTTGTAGTGTTGAAGCCAACTACTATGTTCACTATTTTAAGATTAGATATTCAATCAATTTTTTWAAGTGTTGAAKATAATATAGAAAATTGAGGAACACTTCAAGTTTTTTATTTATTTATAATTATTCAAAATTTAGTTTTATTTTAATATAGATTTGGACACTTGAAGTCTCCAAGAAATGTTACAATGAGAAATTTCGATATTATTGACACAAAATAAATTGTACAATAAATTGAAGAAAAGCATTCGTACAATAATGGAGTTGGAAAATATTTATTGGTTCATAAATAATTGAATAGGATGATTAGGCTACACATCAATTTGAGACCAGTAAARTTAGGAAGGCAATAAATTTCAAGATTTTTTCATCAAATACTTATTTAGTTAAAACGACACTTTTCGCCCAAACAAGAAATAAGGGATTAGAAAGTCATGTTTTAAGTAAGAAAAAAAGAYAGTAAAGTAGGAAATTTTCATATGCAAGGGTTTACATATTAATTTAGGTATCAATCAGTATAATGTCTAATTAGAGTAGATTTGAATTTAATGAATTATTAATTACCTGAATATAATGTAAAAAGTTGTAAATTCAAACTTTGATTCTTTTGGATTGTAATTCAAAAAAAAAAAATCAATAATATTATATGTGAACTCAGTAACAACAAACTAATGACAAATTAGAGATGGGATTAGACCACGAGAAGTCATCATTAGTTTTATTAATGGGTCATTATTGATCTTATAAAAAAAAAGTATAATTTTGTATTATTATTTCTTTTATTAATGGGTCATTATTGTTCTTATCAAAAAAATTAAATAAAGTATAATTTTGTTATTATTATTTCTTTTGTCCAATCTACTTTGGCTATTAGATATATTTCTTTTTTCTTCAATTACGTCAATCATGGTAAATTTAACTTTTTTTCAACTTTTACTGTTTATTTCCAAAATAAAAAATGTTAAAAATGAGGCAAGAGGGGGTCGGGCCCACAATGAAGGAAAAAAAGTTAGTATGAACACCGGAATATCGGGTCAACAAATTCAAGTCGAGCATACGCAAAGGCAACAGAAGCACCGACACGTGGCGGTGACGCGAAGGACACGTGTCGGTGAATGAATTCGTGTCGTTACTCCATTGGCTGCGGCGCATCGGGTGAGGGAGTAAGACGTCATGGAAAAGGACAAGAACTTGAGATAAAAAAGAAAGTAAAAGTAATTACAGTGAGATAAATGTAGATTAAAAAAGTGATTAAGAGAGATAATTTTGGGGTCAGGCTCTTATAAAACCCAAGAGGTTCCTGCGAAGGTGAAACAGAGTGAGGCTGAGCGATATTCACAGTCAGCAAAAAAAAAAAAAAAAATCTAAATTTCCAAAAAGAAAAAAGGTTTTCGAGAGAAATTGTTTGTTGTTCTTGATCTTCTTCTTGTTCTTCTTCTTCCCCCCTCTGTAATCCCCGTTTCTCTGAATCCCTTTCTGTTAACCATCTGTCTTTCAGGTTTCTGATTTTTGGGTTTGTT